CAAATGAATTGGATGAAGTTCAGATGCTATATAAGGTAAAATGGGTTAACATCCAAACAACTCTTTAGTAATTACATACATTATTTGATACAATAATGATAGAGACCACTAATTTTAGAGCTCTAAAAAAACTACTAATGACATGACACTCAATAAAAAAAGAAAAAAAATACAACACCAATGTCAAAACATCAAATCATTCATGGTGAGACCTACTGCCACATCATTAGTGGGAGCACTAATTAGTGCTTCCACTCATTTTCCTATTTGATATCCCCAATGGATTGCTCACTTTAACAATCCAAGTCTGCTTTTCCTTTTTTCAAGAAATTCAATCTCAATGTTACCAACACATGGTGAATTAGCGATTTTGGGGTCGCCAACTTGAAACCTCATGCTCATTTGCCCTTTCTTGACCTTTTTTTTTTCCTAGGCCTTGATAGGTGATGATGCTGAAACAAGATGATGGTCCCTATCCTTAGGTACTAGAAAGTGCAACTTGTTCCACACTAGGTAGTAAATATGCATCTTACACTTGCAACTCTATTTGCATCTTATTGGTTTACTCTTTGGTCATGTTCGATTCACAAAACTAATAGTGAAATATTAATAATCCTATTAAATTAGTGTAGTATTCACTATCCAATTGGATTAATATTCATTGGATTAATAATCTCACCCGTACCCCATTACTAATAATCCTACAAATTTGTTGGATTAATTATCCTAAACCAAAATATTAAAACAAATATAAGATAATTGAGCCCACGGATTAATAATCTCAATCCCATACTCTAATCCACCCAATCAAACATGCCCTTTGGATATGAATTTAGACAAATATTTGGCATGCAATAGATCAAGAAAGAAAATTTTAGAATATTGGGACTGTAGAAGGAAGAACAAAGTTGCAGCATTCACAATCTGATATGATATTGTACTAGCAACTTTACATTTATATTTTTACTTGCAAAAACATGTTGTCTCTTTGCAAATAGCCCGATTCAAAAGTTTTAGCATTCACAAGCTGATATGATATTGCATACTGCCTCTTAATGGGAAGATCTTGATTTGGAGCTATCTTTTGCATGGTGTAGTTAAGAAGCAGCAACAGCAACAAGAGGGATTTTTCAAAACAGAGAGGAGCGGACTTCTAATGGATTAGGGATGCAATGTGGCTTGACTCATTCACTTCATCTTTGGTTTTTTATAGATGTATTCTCTTCTTTTTCTTTTTCTTTTTCTTTTTCTTTTTCTTTTTTTGGGTACATATTGATGTATTATTTTTTCCTTTCTAATTGGGTGGGATAATGTAACAAGGCTTGTTGCTAAACCCTAATTGTGGTAGGAGATGAAGCCTTCATTGGTTGCTCAATACATGTATTTGAGTGGTGGGGAATTTTAATTCTTTGTAGTTGGTTGATCATCAATTTGATGAATAAATTTTTTAAAAAAAATTATGGAATGTTGAACTCTTCTTCATTTGGATAAAGGAAACCAATGCACGGATCTAGAAGTTTAAGGAGGGGAATCAAAACGAGTTGATAGCAATCCAAATCCCTTCTACCAAGGTAGTAAACTTAAGGGAAATTACACGACAGTGGTAATTTCATAAAATTATTACATAATTATGAAAAAATTTATAATTTTAATTATCAATAGTTATAAAGTTTACCATTGGTTTTGTAATTATTTTTGAGAATACCCCTTGAATTAAAATTTCCCTTAAACTTAAAAGTCTTTGCCCTCTGTTTGATTTTCGATAAATAAATAAAATTAGATATACAATAACAACCTAGTAATTCATTCATGAAATATTTATGCCTATTAACAATTGTTGTGGTTAATACTAGAAATTTGATAGTTCATGTTAAAGCAAAAATAATAAAACATTGAAAAATTTCTTCCACGTGTAATGACTTGAGGTCGAGTATTTGATGAGTTGTATTGATTATAGCGATCCCAGTTGTCCCTTTACTGTTCTGTTGTATTCCGGACTCGGTTCCTTGAAGTTGGTAGTTGTATCTATCTTGTTGTCGTCCTTTAATTCCACTTGATTGAGTTTTAGGATGTTTTGGGCAGGGTTGTTACTGGTTGGTTAGGCCTTGGTTTCAATTCCTTGTTGCCCAGTTTTTAGGCGGTCCGCTCGAGCGGGTCTTCTTGCGCTCGAGCGGGGATTGCACACCTCCAGTATTTCGTATTCCTACAAAACTTCTACAGGTGTGATTTTTACGCTCGAGCGGGTTGTTTTACGCTCGAGCGGGTTTGTTGACGCTCGAGCGGGTAGTACTTTCTGGGTATAAGTTCTGGGAGGGAGAAATCTACGCTCGAGCGAACTGGTTTTTACACTCGAGCGGATGTGCTTTATTCTTGTGTCTTGGCGCTTGAGCGGGCCTTCTTGCACTCGAGCGTGTCCAGATTTTTGTTCTGGACGCTCGAGCGTTGTGTTCTCCGCTCGAGCGGGTATGTCGTACATCAGTTGGCTGTGGGGCAGTTTTAAATCACTTTTTCTCATTCTTTCTCTCTCCTGCTTTTCCGAAAAAGCCATTTGAGAGCTTCTCTCTCTAGAACCTTGCCTTCTCTCTAGGTATTGATCTAGTAAGAGTTGTCTCCTCACCTTTGGCCTTTACAAAAAAGTTGTTGATCGTCAAGGGCTATCTTTTGATCCGAGAAACTTGCGATTTGGAGCAACTTCGTTTTCATCATCTTCTCCTTTGGGTGTCATCTTTTGAGGTAGGGATTTCTACTCACAACGATGGGTTTTGACCTGGATATTTGGGTATTTTGTTAAATGGTTGATTTTGAAAAGTTAGGGTTTGAAAATGTTAAAAAAATGGGGAAGGGTTTTGTTATTTTGATTCAAAAATATGTATTTTGGGTTTCAAAATAATGATTTTGTTGTTGGTTGTTGATATATAGGCCATTGGGTCACTATTGGGAAATGGGGTAGAAAACCCTAATTTGTTGAATAAATTAATTGGTATAATTAATTTGGAAAAATTGTGGACTTATGAAATTGAGTTGGAAATAATGAAATTGGTTCATTATATGGTTGAATAGTGGAGTTAGATTTATTAATCGCTCACTTTCGAAAACATTAATATTTTATCTGTTGGAGCTTTTATTATCTGTTTAGAAATAATTGCTTGGGCTACCGGTGGAGGATAGTTTTGATTGTTGTAAACAATGCATAATGATTAGGCAAACTAAAACTAATCAATTGGATATGTCATAGAGTATGACAGTTGATAGAATACATTAACGTTATGTATTGATTGATTGTGTATATGACCTATGTGTATATACATTGTGTGTGTGTGAGGAGATAGGGGATGTACTCCACGATTTAGGGGAAGATAGGGAATGGACCTCTGAACCGGATGTTGTTTGGGAAGAGATAAGGGATGGACTCCACTGATACAGCTCATATGCTTGTCAGATAATGTGTTGATATAGCTCATATGCTTATCTTTGGAAGTGTTGATATAGCTAATATGCATATCTGTTGAAATGTAGATACAGCTTGTATGCTTATCTGTTGAAATGTTGATACAACTAATATGTTTATCTATTGTAAAAATGGGAAATGTTTAATATAAGTCACTGTCTCATATAAGTGGTTGGCCAGGTTCTGAGCCGTTGATGTAGACTGTGAAATTTATAAGAGATGGAAATTGAAATGAAACATGAACATAGTGGTCATGAAATGGAAATGGGTTATGAATTGGTTTATGGAAATTGAACATTTATCAATTGCTAATGTCTTAGTCATTGTTCATACTGTGTTTAGCATATCTCTACTGGACGTTGGCTCACCCTTTATGGGACATTATTTTCAAGTACAGGTAATATGCCACCTCCAAGGACATAGCTTAGATGATGATGAGAGTTGAAGACTCTTTTTGTTTATTTTGATGTATTACATGTAAATTCAAGACAAGGGCTTAATATGTATTGAGTTAGTACTCTTCTTTTTGTAATCAAGTGTTAACTTGGAAAGCTGTAAGCCCTTAAGGCATTTGCTTTTGTTGTTAACATGTAATACAGTTGTAAGATTTACTCTGATGAATAGAAATGGTTGAATTCTTTTGTATCAATGCATGTCTAAAATATTGAGTATTGTGTATTATTTTGAGGGCGTTACATTGATGATCTTCATACAAATAATATAATGAATGGTATGCCACATTAGTGTACATGAAAAATATTATTTTCTTTGACTATTTTTTAAATCATTATTTCCAAAGCATCCAAGTTGACAATAATATAAAAGAGTAACAAGGAAACTAATGACACTTTAGTAACTTTGCTCTTATATGATATAATAAGTCTCTTTTCTATGTTCGTATTTTATCCACTCACACTTGTAACCATAAGCATCATGAACTTGTAAACAAGAGGTGATGACAATACATGTTTCCTTGCTAGAATCATTGAAAGCGATGAGTCAGATCTAAAGAATCAACCTAGAAGAAAGCCAGTCAAATCTAGTTTCTTTAGTGAAGGGTGGAGGAAAGCCCAACTAAATTAGTTTAAGGTTCCATTCTACACCAGTAATCTTAATCTTAATGGCATTGGCACATGCTTCCAGAATTGTCTTTGATAAGGTTCGACTCTTACAATACATTGCCCAATGATAATTAGAGCACTCTACCTACAATACATACTCTTCTACAAGTGGTTCGCTTTGATTTTGTTCCTTCTAGGCATACAATCATTGGGAATCCCCTTTCGAATTTGTTCCCTAATTTCACAAAATTCATGAGTCTATCATTGTATATAAACCAAACTAAGTAATGTTTCCACTCATTCGCAAATCGTAGTGTAATTTAATTGATATTTCTCTTGGAATGCTAAAAATTACCACCAACTATTGGAATGAAGAACTAAACCTACAAACGCATATATGGAAAGAGAAAAACAACACGAACTTGCATTCCAACATGTGTTCACAGTTGTCCTTTATTGATTTTATTGCGCAATATACCCTCTATGATTCATGTTAAAATTCAACATCCCAGTAAATGTTATATTTAGGTCACCTTGATCAAAACAAAGGTCAACTATCACATTGTTAGACATCAAAATTCAACCCCACAACTTGAATGGATGGGGGTCTCGCAGAATCCCAGTTTAATTCATTAACTACTCTCTCTCTCTCTCTCTCACACACACACACACACATATATCATGATATAGCCTACTTCAACAATTTGTACAGACTAGAATGAGCAGTATATTGAGTATGGTGTATGACAAATAACCTTAAAGGTTATGATCAAAATATGGAACAAAACAGAGAGATACAAGGAAAGAAAACAAGAAAACAATTGTACACCATAGCTCTTTCTTTGCCGAAGGTGATGTACCAACAAACTAGTTGAAAAGCTGAACATTTGGTGCTCTACTTTTTGCCTGCCAAAAAAAATATATCAAACATCACAATATTATAACATTGTAATTAAAATCATCCAAATGTTAATTATTTTGAAACATGGAAAAAAATGTTATAATATTATACTTTCTACATATGTGTTCAATAGATTGATGTGATTTTAAATTGGTCTTAAAGGGAAAGATCTTTACAAAACAGAAGTTCATTCTTACGTCCAAAGATTTGGTTAAGTAGTTTGAATTCATAGAGAGGTAAAACGCACATTTTCTCAAGTCTTAATATGTATCTAATTTGAAAGTTGAAACAAACGAAAGAGCTATACTACTTTTAATTTGTTTCCTTTCAATATAATTTCAAAAATATATATATTGAAATTGAACCGAATGTCATTTGACAAATTGTAGTTTAAATATTATGCATGCTCCCAGTACCGAGGTCTAATTTTTTTATTTTTGTAAATTGTGCATCCACTACATGAGTCAAAACTTTTACTTTTTGCATATGATTAGTTCATGACTCCTTTGTCATAAAATAAATATAAAACAAAATCAGATCACATTTTCTTTGAGTTTTGAAACTACTGAATTAAGTATACTTTATAATAGCGTAAAACTACGAAAAAAAAAGGCCTGCTGATGTTACCACAAAACTTGTTTTACAAAAGCTTGCAAAAATTGAACTTTTTAAGATTACCAAATGACTAAAATAGCCAGTACACAACTCCTTTTTTTAATGTAAAATCCAACATCTAGTTTTATGAGAAGCTTAACCAAACCAAATGGACTGTAAATACTTTATTATAAGTTATTCCTTTAATCCTTATAAAACCAATTTGCAAGTAGCCAAACAAATCTCAAAGAGAGTACAGGTCAAGTTGATCCTAATTCAATATCCCACCATAAATACCCATGTGGTTAAACCATGGTCCTTAGGCTCACTTCAAACGAAACCCAACCTCTATAGGCAAGGCACCATCCCCCACCCAACCCCATGTTGTGTCAAGGCTTGAAACCCCAAACTCTTCTATTGGAGTGCGGAGGTGATGCCATATTTGTGGCAAAATGGCAAGACTTGCCATTGTTTAATCATTCAAATGCAACACAACTTGCCAATGGCATGACTTGTCATTGTCTACTCATTCAAATGCAACATGACTTGCCACTGGTCTCATGGTCAAATGATGTGTCATTAACACTCACATAAAGGAGGTTGGGGATTCAAGCCCTGACAAGAGCATTAGATAAGGTGGGATGGAGCACTAAACTATAATTGAGTTGGGTTTCTTCTAAGGTGGTCAATGGGCTCCTAACACGATATATATACATGTATGTGTGTATAAAGGCAAAATGACATTAGGCCTTTGGCAATAAGTATCCGCATGTGTGCCACCACAAATAAATGCTTAAGTGACATTTTATTTTGATCGCATAAGTATTTTATATGCATTTTGATCTCATACACAAATTGGTTGACTTAATTCTTATAAATACAATTTATTAATTTCTTTGCATTAAAATCAAGGTATAATTGTATATATCTTGTAGTAATTACCGTTGATAGCAACAATAGATTTTTGGGTAAAGTACACCTGCACACCTTGAGGTTCGCTCTTAAAACAGACACCTCCTTCACATTCTAGAAATTACATTGAACCCCTTGTCAGACCATGTCTCTTAATAGAAGTAACAGAAAATAGATAATGACCTTCTAACAAGCATGGACACGGATACGATACAGACACGCCGATACGTTAATTTTCAAAAAATACAGGACACGACACGTGAAGGGCACACATGAAATATATAATTTTAAATATTTATTATATGTTATATATATATATATATATCATTCAAAGATAATAAAAGATGCAATACGACACTAATTCCTATAAATTTATATTGGTTTTGTTTTATCATTGTATCTTAAGTTGTATTGTTCAAAATTATAATTAGTTTCACATGTGTCTAATTGATAGACACGTGTGTTTAAACGATTGACACGTGTATCCTCTAAGTGTTTAAAGAGTGTTCGGGTCTTTAAAAAAAATTAAAAATAGGACACGTTTTGAAAAATGTTGGGCATTTGTCCTAAAAGTGTCCAAAGAGTGTCAGTATCCGATTCGAATACGTCACATTCTTAGAAGTGTCCATATTTCTTAGATGACAATAGACTTAAAATATCTAAAGTGGATTCTCTCTTTTGTAGTAGATATCAAACTTGTTGCCCCATCAGCTACATAGACCCCTTCCTTTCCATTGTTGCCAACGCTTTCCCGAGCCGAGCCAAGCCAAAATTCTTTATTATAAAGGGTAGGTAAAGTCCGAAGGCTACCATCCCAATAAGCCAGCGAACCATATTACCCTCTTCCGTCCCTATCCCTACTCGTTAACCATTGCTACTACATTTCACTACCCAGCATCAACTGACCAACAATTATCCACTGCCACAGTCCACCACCTCATCATCGGAACCACCACCTCTCACTCCCACTGCCATCACAGACCCATTACCAAGATCTACCGTCTCTTGCCTCAACCATCACAAACTTGCTACTAACTCCTACCATCACATTTATCATCTCTCCGCCATCAATACTTGTAGGCAAATTATCAAACACTTTACCTTCACCATTACCTAAGGCCTCATTTGGCAACTTGAAGTTTTAACTAAAAAACCAAAAGTCAATATACGTTATCACATCACTCTGTCTACTTTTCTGCACATCTTTTCATAAAAAGTCAAAAATTGTTAAAATAGCCTGTTCTCAGACGAAGCCTAAAAAAAAACCACTAGTAATTGGTTTCTTTAGTGTCATTGTATCCCATCGTTATCACATCACTCTCTCTACTTTTCTGCACATCTTTTCATAAAAAGTCAAAAATTGTTAAAATAGCCTGTTCTCAGACGAAGCCTAAAAAAAAACCACTAGTAATTGGAATACTTGTAGGCAAATTATCAAACACTTTACCTTCACCATTACCTAAGGCCTCATTTGGCAACTTGAAATTTTAACTAAAAAACCAAATGTCAATATACGTTATCACATCACTCTCTCTACTTTTCTGCACATCTTTTCATAAAAAGTCAAAAATTGTTAAAATAGCCTGTTCTCAGACGAAGCCTAAAAAAAAACCACTAGTAATTGGTTTCTTTAGTGTCATTGTATCCCATCGTTAAACAAAGCATTCATAGAAACTTTAATTTAATGTACTAATTACATTACCAAATCATCCAAGTCTTCAATATTTAACTCCACCAGTTTAGATTGCATTACCACCCTCAATTAGACAATGTAACTCCATTGATGAGCTTGTGCTGCAACTACCCACTGACCTCATCCTCCTCTCCATCATCTTTTGCTCTACCCTATCGACGACCTCCTCTACCAATGACTCACCCCTCACCATTACCTCCCTCACTCTTCTCTCACAATGTAACCCAAAACTCTAAATGTAGATCAAAACCAAAGCCTTTCTGATTTGTGTCACGACATGTGTTAAAGGCTTTGCATTCTTCAACAATACAATTTGTGCTCAGTGGCTTACTAAAAGAGGTGGATCGTAAAGGGAGTTGATGGTAGATAAGAAGAGAAATGTTGGTTGTGGCTTTCGTTTTCCCTTAATTAAGGCTGTGAGCTCCTCTGACCATTCTTCTCTCAACTTCTATTTCTCTTGTTTCTTCTCCAGTCTCTCTCTCTCTCTCTCTCCCCTTTTTGGTTTTGATATTAGAGTTTACAAACAAGGGATGGGTTATTTGAATTGGGTTTGTGTTAAGGGTCAAAATTAGTATTTTGATGGTTTTATTTGTTGATATCATCTAGAACCAGTCGGTCACTTAACAGAATGGTGGAAAGTGTAATGAGAATTGAAATTGTGGGGGCTGCAGTGTAATTTCTCAAATGTCAAGAGGGAATCTGTAGCAAAGACAAACCTCAGGGGTGTTTGATGTAATTTACCCTAAATTTTTCTATTTTATTTATAGAAATAACAACATCCACCAAGTGGCGTACAAGTCCAAACTCACAGACTAAACCCCAAAAACTTTTGGAACCCCTAGTCAATGTTGGATACATCATTTATTTTGATCTTATAACAATTTACACATACACATTCACCAAAAACCAAATACGTCCAAACCTACCCACCTCACATCAAAAGAGCCTAACTTGGCTTACTTGAGTGGGACACCTAGTTGATGTCAATTTATCAATTCTTATTTTTCTCATTGGATCGTTTAGAAATTTCCACACATACATCTATTAAAGGCCAAACAAATCCAAACTCAACATCAAATGGCCTAGCTTTTGAAGAGATGATACTGACTTGTAAGGTGAACTCCTGGTCAATGTGGGATTAATCCTTTTTATTCATAAAATTACACGCAACCACCAAGGACTTAATAAGTCCAAATTCACACACCGCACACGAAAAGGGCCTAACTTTTGGAGGGGTGATGGAACATATGAGGTTCACTTTTGGAGGGGTGATGGAAACATATAACGTAAATGTGTGTTAATTTTTATAAGATTAAAAAAAAATATGATGTATCCCACATTAATTAAGTGTTTCACTCAGTGTTGTGAAAAGCGCGCCTAGGCGCACGCCTAGGCGCCAGGCGAGGCGAGGCATACTCTTTGTGCCTATACAGGTCCCAGGCGAGGCGACTTCAGGTAGGCTCATGCCTTAGCCGCAACTTGAGCCAGGCGACAGAAGCACAAGGCGCACGACTAGGCGCGCTTGACCAAATACGACTGAAATGAACCCTAATCTATGTCGTTTTTCCTCTCTGCCTCACCTTGGACTTCGACTATGGACCTCAATTCGACTTCGACTTCGCAGCGACTTCGACTGTGGACCTCGATTCGACTTCGCATAGGTATGCTTCGCCTCGCCATCTTCTTCTTCTCCTCCTCTTCTGGTCTCCTCGATTGGACTTCGTTTTTTTTTTTTTTTTTGGCTTCGACCTCTTCTGGCCTTCTTCTGATCTCACTTTCTCTCTCTCCCCCCTTCTTCTTCTTCTTCTTCTTATAGCTTCCATTCAACTCTGTTTTATTTTTTTTTTCCCAATTATGTTAGGAAAATTTAGGAAAATAAATAAGTAAATAAATACAAATACAAAATAAATAAATAAATATAAATACAAATACAAAATAATAAATAAATAAATACAATGCTACTGGTCTTTTTTTCCCCTTTATCCGTTAGGGAAAAAAAATAAATTATGTATTTATTAAATTCTGTAGTTATCTGTATTTAATAAATTTTGTATTTATCTGTATTTATTAAAATTCTGTATTTATTTGTATTTATTAAATTCTGTATTTATCTGTTAGGGGAAAAAAATAAATTTTGTATTTATTAAATTCTGTATTTATCTGTTAGGGGAAAAAATAAATTCTGTTAGGTGCTACTGGTTTGAGCCTCTAATTTTGTATTTATTTATTAAATTTGTTGTGTAGATTGTAGAAAATGACATCTGATTCTATATTTATTGATTAGTCTATGTTAATTTTCTATTTTTTACTAAGACTGTGTGCCTTACTTCAGTAAAGCCCGCGCCTCGCCTTGCGACTTGCGCCTAGGCCCCAAGAGACCTTTAGCGCCTTAGTGCGCCTTGAGCCTTTAAAAACACTGGTTTCACTCATGTTGGCTTTCCTTCTTGTGTGCAATGTGTATTTGGAATTATTTGGCTGTTGGTGAATGTGTGTAAATCTATAAGATAACTAACATGAGCCTTATAAATCTCTATCACTCCTTCAAAACTAGGACTTCCACTCAAGTGAGCCTTGTAATTGGCACCTATTCAAGAGTACTTCCACTCAATCGTGCCATTAAGTCTCCCATCACTCATCAAAAGAAGTTGATGTGCATGTCATAATCAAGATCTGGAGGCAAAAAAAAATAATGGAGATGATAATATAGTTTTTGTTTTAAGTATTTTATTGTATAAAGTAACCTACTTGTGATAGAGATTACAAGATTTCATAACACTTTGTTGTTTATGATGATAGCTCAAAAGTTCAAAATGTATATTTCAACAAGGTGTATTCCATGTATCCACAACTCGTATCATTGGCAACCTTATTTAAATTTTTTTACATTGTGATTTTGATCTTAGTCATATCATGCAAACAAGACATTAAGCCATGTTTGCCTTTCCACTTACAATAGCTAATGTCCATCTCTATAAAGTTATGCCTCATATCTTCATTTTACATAAAGTTGTGTATAGATATCTAGCAATCCATATGGTTTCATCATTTCATAAAATTTTGAATTCGTAAATATGTCAATTGGGTAAATTACAAATATAATCCTTGAGATTTGCTTAAAATACAATTCGCCCCCTGTGATTCTGAAAATTACATCCCACCCCTTTAAGTTTCTAATTTCGTAACAAATAACCCATTTTATTAATAAATCAAGTCAATTAAAAAAATTTAATAATCTCATAAATTTATTTTAATTAATAAATCAGGTAATTTTATCATCGTACAAGATAGCAATTATGGATTTTATTTTTTCAGTTAATTCTGTTAGACAAAATTTTTTGACAAAATGGTATTTGTAGTTTTTCAAACTATAAGGGGCAATTCATATTTTAAGTAAACCTCAAGGGTGTATTTATAATTTACCTTTCTTTTTTTAATTTGACACAAATGGAAATTCTTACCAAGTAGGGATCAAAAAACTATTTGAGTTATTCCTCATGCAACTGATGCAAGGACAAACATTTCATATTAATATAGAGATTGAAGTGTGGAGTATACTTGATCTCGTTCTTCTTGTACCAATGCCAATGTCTGTAACATTTGGAGCCTCACTAGAGCTTGAAGTGTGAAGAATGCTTGCTCTGGTTCTTCTCGTACCAATGTCAACATTTGTAACATTCTGAATGTCGCCACTATCTTCAACTTGATTTGGAGTCTCATCACTATCTTCAACTTGATTCACCCTTATAATGTAAACCTGAAAAATGAAGTGAGGTGAGCAAAAAACATTACACATAACTAAATATCTCAATATAAGAGGTTTTCGCCATGGAGATGGCATTCCTTCACTACTTGGTAAACCATAATTAAATTTCGATGAAACGACAGATAAGTGGCTATATATTAAGGTGGAAAAAAATTCCAGTGTTAAACCGTAACACCAGAAGAATAAAAGGTGAAGTTATCTACTATTGTATAATCCCAATTATTTGTGGTTTTTGATAAACACTTGAAATGTGAAAACATCATGAAAACAAAGCAATCTATGCACACTGGAAAAAATAATAAAAAATAAACCATAGTCAGACAAGAAGTTATAACATGCTTCAACACAACGTTCACATCCAAGCATGACCAATTCTTACAGCAAACCATGTAGTTGATTCAAAGGAAAATAATTCATATAAATTGATAATTAGTTATAAGATTTATCACAAAGCAAGTAAAACTATACCACAAAATGTTTCAAGGTGGTCTAAAATGGTGTATCCTTTATGAAAAATAACAAACTAATTCCCTATAGTTAGTTACAACATACTTGCAACTCATGGTAAGATAATTTTGATTATATATTTATGATAACATATGGTTTAGAACTATGTTGGGTATCTTCCAAAATGATGGCAAGATTCAATGAGAGATCACAAATACGACATGAACTAGAAAATGCCTTGCAGCTTTCAGATTGGAGATGTGAATTGTGCAATATCACTACGAGATTTTAATTCACAAGTAAAAATGCCTCAAGAGCACATAAATATGTATCAGTCAAGCATTAGGATTTGAAGATCACCTTAAATTTTGTAGGTTGGATTAGTTGGAAAACCAAAGCATCCCCGTCAACTAATTCATGATCAATAGCAAAACCTCTCCACCCAGCACTAAGTCCTGTTTTCTCAGCAAGGTACTTTGTTGAGCTTTCATTATCATCCTCATCCAACAAAGTGATGAATTCATCATGGGTTGGAAGGTGGCTATTGCAGAAATAGACAGGAAGTCCCTAAAGAAATATTGGTATACAAGAATCACAACCATGACAAACTTACTGTTGAAAGGTGAACACATCATCTTCAGCAACAAGAAAGTATGTCCGACTCATCAAAAGCTGAAATGTCTCTTCATTTTTTTATTTTTATTTTTTTTAGTGTTTTTTTAGAAAATTTGCTATAAATGACCACACAGAGTGAAGAACTTACCAGCCAAAACCCTCCAGTCACATGCGATTGGAGCATTGGCTTTACAAAGCTTGGAATATCAGGGTCTAAACCTGACTGCAGTTTTTCTGCTCTCTCTATAGCATACACTCTGTCTTCATGTGAGGCATATACTCGGTTTGACAAATCCCTTGGCTTATAATTATAAGTCCTATGATAACTAAGCATCACAAAGCGTAAATCATAAGCAATTAATCTAATAACTACTATTGCAGTAACAATTTTCACTGAATAAGCTGAGTTATATATCTACCTTCGCCTCCCCAAAGGTTCAATAGGCTCCTGTCAAGCATCAAGAGATTCATAATTTAGCAAAATTTGGTGAAGAAATAAAGCTATTCAATGACATTAACAAAATATGAACTTAAGTTGAACCCTTTCTTCAGTGAATATTATGATTTCAAAAACAAAATAATTGGATAATTATTTGAAACGGGTTCAAATCATACAACAAAAAAAGTATTAAGCATTATATTGTTCTGACAGTCAGACAACAATTAGAAACGCGGGGGTGGGGGGGGGGGGGGGGGGAGCACTAGAGAATTTACATGACAAGTACTACAATCAAGAGAGTACATTATTAAACACTCCCATTTTTGTAGACAGAGATCACAAATTATACCAAAAAATTCTGCAATATCTCAAAATTTTACATGAAAGTTTTGTGTTTAATTTATTGAAAAAAATATATATTTGAAAATTGAATACATAAGTTAGGAGAGAAGAGAAAAGATTCAATGTATTTGGTTTCAATTTTCTGAAAATTAAATTTTTATTTTTTGTGTTTTTAGTGAATATTTTTAAAATTTTAAACAATTTTATTTTTTTATTTTTTTAGATGCACCTCACTTAAATGTATCTAAAAATTAAATATTTGTAAAAAAATGTCTTAAAAATTCAATAAATATGCAAGAATACAAAAAATGTACTGAATTTTGGTTTTTTTTTTTTGAAATGTAATTATGTTAGGTGTATCTAAAAGTTTTAAAAAATGCTTAAAATATTAAAAAAATTCAATGAAAACAAAAAAAACATGGAAAATCAAAAAATTTAATTTTTTGAAAAGTGAATCCTAAGTCCTGAAACCAAACAAGCTGATTGTGCTTGCTCTCCTACTGTTTGAATAACAAGGAGACAATCACAGAGATTAGAGAATGACTTGTTTGGTTAAACCACAAAAGAAAGAAAATAAATTTTTCATGTTAGGACATCTCCAATCATTGACTCAAATCTCTATCAAACTTAAATTTGGGTAAAAATACTCAAAATACCCTCCACTGCTTGACTCAAACTGATTTTTGTATAGTACATACCATGTATGGTTACATACCAAATGGACGGCTAGGATTGCATCACATCATTTTATTTTTTAACGGTTATGAGTCAACACCAGATTTGTTCATGCCTAAAACCAGTTTGATCATAACTTAGTTATGAGCCACCACCAGATTTGTTTATAACTGAAACGAGTTTGATCATAACTTAGTTATAAACCACCATCACTTCTCCTCATATACTTGTTACCATTCTCCTCATAACTTAGTTATGATCAACACTACATATTTCATAATCATTAACCACATATCTCACAACCATTTGTCATAGCTCAATACCACATATCTCATAACTCACACCACACAATTTTGAGCATAACTAACACCACACATCTCATAACAAATAACACTTTGGCTCATAACAGATACCACATAACATATCTCATAATGAACATCACATAGCTTATAAACACACAACTTTGAGCATAATCAACAGCATATATGATACATCTCATAACCACTACCAAATATCTCATAACCAACCACACATATTTCATAACCACTATCACATATCCCATAACCATATATCTCATCACTAACACCATATATGTCATAACCAATACCACTTTGACTCATAAACGAATGTATGGTGCACGTGAATGTACCATAACAAACTTTAATTCCAAATTGAGTTTTACTCAAATTTTTACCAAAATCAAGGGAGACTCATAAGTTCACTCAACAATTTTCAAGTCTATTTTATGGGTCTCAAATTTACCAAAATGTCAATAGTGAATCCTTTTGGCTTTTTTAGGATGTTCCCAAACCAAGCCTTGTGCTTAAATATGAGTATATCCATTTAAATGGTTCATATAAAATAAATCATTTACTCAAATTTTGAGCAAGGGCCGGAGATATCTTGAATTAACAAAATAACATTTTATAGGTCTTAGTTCTTTTTTCTTTTTTTTTTCTTTTATATATAAAGGGACAATTTTGATATTATGAAAAATAGTAATTTGTTGATTTCTTTTCTCTCATAAAGTCACAAAAATAAATAAATAAATGGAGAGATTCAAAATGAGAATTTTAATATAAATGTGTTTCTCCTCATTTCTCTCCCTTCTACTAATTCAAAGAGATGATATGAACCAAGAGAAATACATTTATTTTATTTTCTTCCCAAATCAAGCAATCCAAACAGGCTGTACCAGAAATCCAAATTTCAAAAAAAAAAGGGAGAGAGTAAGCAGAATCTGTGCCAAAGTTTGAGAGGGAGAGAGAGAGAGAGAGGGAGCTCACTTCCCTGTAACTGGGTGGAGGCTTGTCTGCAACACGACGGGACCTCCTCACAGCAGAGAGGTCCACCGGCTGGCGAGGCATCTGCGGCTTCACCCGCTTCATCTGTTGAGCAAAAACAACACAAACAAAATACATACATATATATAGATACATATAATCAATAGAGAGAGAGAGAAAGGGGTGGTTAGAAAAGAACAGACTGGAGAGGGCTTAGGGGTAGCACTGGTTTTGAGCGATTGAGCAAGTTTATTGAGATTGAGTTCTTCCATTCTTTTCTTGTTCTCCTCCAGCCTCTTCCGACGGCTTTCCTCATATGCTACCTTTGACACCACCATTTTTCTTCCAATCTCTCTCACTCTGTGTGTAGGATTTACAGAGAAGGAGAAGAAAAATGCAGAGAAGACCGTTAAACCCTCTTTCAGAATCTCTCTCTATCTAAACCCTCACTGAGAGTCACTGGGAGGTGGTGGAGAAAATGAGCGCCACTTTAGAGGGTTTGAACTTTTGAATTCAAAAAAAGTGTTCGTCTTTTTCTAGGCAATTGTCTGGAGGAGATGATTAGGCAGTGTTTGGTCTACAGTAATAGAGTTTAAATAAAATTAGGGGTAATTATAAAATGGGTAAATAACTGTCTGATCCCTGTTTACTCAAAAAAAAAAAAAAAAAGAAAGAAAGAAAACACCAAGCTCTTTGTAGTTTCATTTGTAACATTTAAATTCTCAAGGTTTTATAGCATGTTGTAATTTGTGACGGAAATGATAGAAGGACACAAAATGATATCATTTTGTGCAGTGCTTGATCCAAAAAAAAAAAGGAGGGGAAAGGAGAGAAAGAAAAAGAGAGAAAATGAGTGAAAGTTACAGAGAGATTGCAACCAGAGAGAGAGAGAGAGAGGGAGAAACATATATATAACTATATGTATATATGTTCATACAACTATATGTATACATACAACTAGTCTAGAGTTAAAATAATACAAAATGAGAGTATGTATATACTATATATATATACTAGTGTATGCCCGTGCCTAAAGGCACGGTGTAAATAATATTGTGATTAAAATATAATTTTAATTTATAGGTATCATGTTAAAATTTATGAAGTCTAACATTTTTTTATTCTTCTTAAAGAATTTTCTACAATTTTATTTGTACGACACTTTCTATAGAATTTAATTAAAATAACAACTCCCCCTAGCCTTAATGCAAATCAAAATAGTAAAATGTAAAGTAAAAAGAAATAAAAATTTATAACTCGTGCCTAAAGGCACTCTCAACAATTTTTTTGGTACCTCACACTCTACAAAACTCAATTAAAATGAATTAATTCAAAATGACAACAATTTCATTGCATTACATAACTCAATTAAAATAAATCAATTCAGAATAACAACAATTTCACTGCATAGAACTCAACTATAACAAATCAATTCAAAATGACATACTTCATGCATAAGAAGAATGGTGAATGAACATTTTGGTACAAAAGAATAATCATTATAGCTAGTAAAAAACAAATAAACTAATCATCCAGGCAAGAATGAAAGACCAATCATTAACACACATAGAAAAAAGCAACACAACCACAACGTTTCTAATGTTGATCAGTCACCTGTAACAAATCACTCCAACACTTGAATTCGACTTTAAAAGATTAGCTAAAAGAAATCATAACAGGAAAACTCATTCAAAATATTTATGAGAAACGGGAAAATCAAGAATTATGAATTAAGAGAAATTGAACATAAAAAAATTTCTAACATAACTCTTCTTGATAAAAGCACCAGTGTCTTTCCCAATTTACCCGCAATTATCAAACTAAAAAACAGCAATTATCACATTCATAAGTATGTGATCAAAATACATGATTCCTTAGAAGGCTAACCCCCCCTTCCCCATTTAAAAAAAATAACCATTAAAAAAATGTAACACTTAAGGAAATCCAAACAATCGAAATTGACTATTGCCAACAAAAGCTAAAAGGCAAAACAACCTATTGTATTAAAACTAAAAAAATAGGATACCTAGTCAAGGTTCCTCACCTTCATAAGTATGAAAGTGTATTGTAGATAATTGGTTAATTCTCTCCAAAAAAATTTGCCTAGAGTTGTAATGGAGTATTATAGAACTAAATAGGAAAAGCAATATGAAGTCTTGCACTTCCTTTTACGTCTGTAGAGTTTAAAAAAAAAAAAGGACAATACTTCCAAATGCCTTCGAGAATTACCAAATGCATCCATCACTACAATATGTGAATTAGTATTATAAAAAATTGATTCAATTCCTTCGACTTTACAGTTTGTTCACAGAAAGCCACATAAGAAAAGTTAATTGAAGTAAGCATGTTAAATAAATAAATAGGAATTGAAGTAAAAGTCAATTGAACAAAATTATTGACTACATCATGCATGATTTCATTAGACAGTGATGAGACTACTTGAATATTTCAAATCTAAGATCTTACACAATCATTAATAGTACATTATCCCCTGTTTCTCACTTAATCCCATTAAAAGAAATAAGCTTAGAAATTACGAATGTATTTAAACTAATTAAAAAAATCCATGAGATCCATGGCCATCAAAGCCGCCATCTTGTTGTGCCCTTGGGTCAATATTCACTTATCTAGCTTTTCATTGGAAGACAAATCCGGAATATGCAAATCAAAAAAAAAAAAAGAAAATCCTACATGCGAGAACAAATTTAAATTTTTTGTTTGTGATGAACATAACAAATCTAGTAGTTCATGGCAAAACTAATATTACACCTATTACTACATTCCTAAGTATGTATCAGTGTCGGAATTAAGAAAAGACCACAATGTTGCATTCAATTGTTCGAACATGAGGAGCTTTCAGCATGATTTTTTTTTCTCTAGTTCATAAATAAGCAGACTTTATTAAAAAGTATCAAGATGACGCAAAGAATACAAAAAATCAGCCCCCAAAGGGATAACAAAGCTAAGAAATCAAATCATTCACAAAATCTACAAAAGCCAAAACATCTGGATCAACCAAAACATTGACTTATTGGCTTATTCGGATCACACCACCTCTCTACTATCTATACATTTTTTGTAATAAGTCAAAAAATCAGCTTATGAGCCACATATAAACTTGACAAAACACAACCTAAAGGAAAAATAAAGTAAAAGTTTAACAACAATACTAATATTATGAAGCATCAATTGAATTGTAATGTTAAATAAATAAATAAATAAAAATTCAAGAACCATACCAATTGATAAGAATTTTATTCAAGAACCATCCCGGGACTAAAAAAAATTGCAATGTCAACACTTTGAAAGTTGTTGAACCTCTTTTAAAAAAAATAAAAAAAAAACTTTTGTTACTAAATAAAAAATTTAGCATCTCACCAAAAAAGAAAAAATAAGAAAGAAAGATGCGTACACTCTGTCCTTAAGACAGATTCGCCCCGCTACGGTACTTACGGTTGAGTGGCGTCTATCTCCCAGGATACAATGATCTTCACAAATTGTAGTAGTACTCCAAACAATTTGTTCGGCGAACCAAACCTATGTTCTAACTCTCTGAAATTTATTCCTAAATTATAAATGAAGATTAATGCACTAAAGAAATCTGGACAGCAAAGAGAGAAATTTCAGACTCTAAAATTACGGATCCAAGACTGCTGGAATCATGCAATATATATAGGCAAAGACATTAGCCCCGAACAGGTACAATATGAAAAAGCACTGTTTTGACCGTTGCAAGACCAAATATTCAAACAATCCTGTCCGTTGCTTTATTTCAAAAAATTTGAACAAAGTTCCGTTGGATGGAACAGATTTCAAACAATTGGAAATATATAATTATAAAACTATTTAAATAGTTTTATTAACCAACCCAATTAGAGAACAATGTTTACTAACTGTTTTAAACTATTTGAATAGTTTAATTAATAAAGGAGAAGGTACAAATTTTAGATAATTAAAATTTGAATTTAGAATTAAATTAAATTCCCATAATTACAAATTTTAGGAAACCACTTAGGAATCCAAAATTTGAATTTAGAATATAATTAAATTAAATTCCCACAATAATTTTTTATTGAAAAAATTCAAATGAATTTTATCTAAAAAATTACTGTTAGACTCAAAAAAACGATGTCAACTTCCCATTCACTCATAAATGGTTTTGACGTTCTGTCTTCACCTCTTCGGACCCACCCCAAACAACGTTTGGGGGCCCACTCTAATTTGGGCTCAAAAATATGTCTATATTAAACCATTTTTCCAACAGTAATTTGTGACGGATATGATAGAAGGACACAAAATGATATCATTTTGTGCAGTGCTTGATCCAAAAAAAAAGGGGGGGAAAGGAGAGAGAAAGAAAAAGAGAGAAAATGAGTGAAAGTTACAGAGAGATTGCAACCACAGAGAGAGAGGGAGAAACATATATATAACTATATGTATATATATGTTCATACAACTATATGTATACATACAACTAGTCTAGAGTTAAAATAATATGAAATGAGAGTATGTATATACTATATATATATAGAATGATTAGAGATCAGAAAACACACACCAACATTACTCAACACAAATACACACCCAAATCCAAATCCAAGAACACCAAATAACTTCTCCACCCAAAGAGTTCTTGATTATTAGATATAGAAGAAAATGAAATCATAGGCTTCTTCTTTCTGTATATATATATATATATATATATATATGAGAGGGTAATTTGTGCACAAATTGGGCCGAGATAAGTAAGCCCCGTGAGACTGAGCCGAGATAGGTGTATTCAGGGGCCAAACCATGGACTAAAGTGATTATTTCGGAATCTTTGGTCATGATAGTTCGGTCCGGGCTTCGCTTTCAGAGTCCGGTCTAGAGGTCGCGGCTAAGGTGCTTACTTGAGTTAAACCGAGCTAAAGATAGCTTGGCAAAGCAACTCCTGAGACCAGTTGGCTGAGGTTAGCTAGTTCAGCACCGAGCTGTGTAAGCACAGCTATGCTTTGTGCCAACCGAAGTAGGAGTTGCTGTTATCTCATTTTGATAGACAGAGAGGAAGGTGTTAAAGGATAAGCATTATCTTTTAGAAATGTGATTCGTAGGAGGACTCTACATTGGAGGATAGGAGTCCTACTAGGATTGTGCCACACGAAATCTATAAAAGCTCGTAACAGGACCTATGTACAGGTATCATAATTTTGACTCTCAAATACACAGCGCTTTTGTCTATTGCCTATTTGCTGACTTAGGCATCAGAGAGGTATCCGGCACACACCCGCCGACTAACTCACGTTTGTGTTTTCAGGGAGTAAAGCGACGACATTTGGAGGAGCGCAAACTTGATCAATAGGATTATACGAGAAGATTATTTCGTGCTCGTGCAATTGGCGCCATCTATGGGAATTGCACAAAGAACAAAACCTTTTGATTTAGTCTTCTTCTCTAGTTGAAATCAATGGCGCAGAATGAGGAATTGCCGCAATCTGCTATTGATGGGCAAACCCTGGAGGGGGGTGGCAGGCGCGAAGCTTTACCATCTATCCCACCCATGGCAAAATTAGAACCCCAGCGACGGAACTCCCGGAGGGACACACAG